GTTTTAATTATTATAATTTTTTTGTATTATTAATTACTACATCTATTCTGTATTTCCGGTTTTTCATGAATTGTTTTATGCTTCATAATTGTATAATTGTAAATCCTAAAAAAATATATAATGGCCAGTGTTTCCTGTGACTGTTTACCCTGCTACTGGGGTATGTTGTCACAAGAGGCTAACATATATTATCAGTCAAAAGTTTAGGATATTTTTTTAAAAACGGTTTTGAAAGAAGTCTCAGTAAAACTTTACTTAAAGCATTATAACAAGTCATTAAAGGGTATAATGCATTATATTTATTACAATATTTATTATATAAATATATTTATTATATTTATAATACATTATATCTTGTAAATAATTATAACTGAATTTAAAATGCATAATGTAACAATCAACTGATAAGTGCTATAATGTATTAACTGTGGTAATAATTATTCATGAGATTGTACAATGTATTATAAGGTGCATAATAATTAATGCATTAAAACTACTTTTTATAATGCATTATAGGCACATAAAGGCTTTAAGTAAAGTGTTACAGAAATCTCTGATGTTCACCAAGGCTGTATTTATTTAATATAAAATACAGCAAAAACAGTAATAGTAACAGTTTAATACAGTTGTTGCTGAATACAGTTTTTACTCTATTTTTCATCAAATATGCATCCTTGGAGAGCATAAGAGACTTTCAAAAACATTTTAAAATCTTAATTATTCCAAACTTTTGAATGGTATAGTGTATTTTAAACAAACAGTATTTTTCTGGCCAATAACGGTTAATATGGTCAAATTTTTTTTTAAAGTCAGAAATCTACTAAAAATAAACACCTGTGATTATTACATACAAACAAATACATTGAGTATGCTATACCTTTCTCAAAGTTACCATAATTCTATAATGTCTGCACAGCAGTGTGCTGCTTTCAGTCTGCATGGCTTTGTTTTTTAAAAAGGCAAAATCAATTTCGTGAAATGAAAAAGGTCACTTGTACCATAAAAGTCTTCTGAGTCATATCGCTTGTTGTTCATATAATTATTCTGTCCATGAGACACATGGTTCATGTTCATGTAATGAAGACTTTGATACAATAACAACAACTTCCTCTGTCTATGAGACTGTAAATTGGCATCTATTACTCACAATGTAAAAAGAGTGAATGCGGTAACTATACATGATTCCCGGACTCCAGACTGCCTCTAATTCACTCGTCTAAGAATTTGCTCCACGTGTGTAATTGCTATAAATTTGGATTAGAGATTGGGGAAAGGTTGTAAATTGATGTGAAGTCCTGATACATACCCATTTGTAAGTCATTAACATTTTTTACCCTCTAATTTTGCCCTTGAATTCTGCATTTTTTAAAGGAGAAAATGGCATTATGGCTCCACTGATTCTGGGTGACACTATAATTATGACGTTAACTGGTTTAAAAACGGAATAAAAATTGAAATGAAATCATTATTTAACAAAAGAAATCACCAGGAAAAAAACAAACAAATAAACTATAAACCATGCTACTCATGCCTTCTCTACCCTTTTCTACATTCATTATACTAAATAAAACCATCACAAATTTGATTATGTTGAATATAAGCATTACAAACTAAAGATCAAACAGAAATTATTGACCGCAGGTTAGACGGCCGACACAATTACTGCATACTTACTCTTTATTCCTGGCCTTAGGACAGTCCTAGTCTGATGTTTAATATAAGGATCCTAAATTGTTGCCTGTGTAGCCAGGCTTTGTTTAAACGGGCTTATGACTCAATTTAATCCGTAAAAATATAGCCATTTCATTATGGAGCACACTCAGATATTTGTTTCTGCGGGTTTCTCCCTCATTGAAGCATAAATTGCTGCAAACTGCAGAGTTTGGAAAATGATTCCACGCCAAGCCGTTCCTAAACGAATAAATCAAGGACTAAACGCTGCCCTTAAGCAGCTAAAGACATTCATTCAGACAGTCATTCAAAACAGATCCTACATTCAATAAAAACACAGAGCGCACACACTGGAGACTGGCACTTGCCCAGTGTCACGGCAGGCCTGCCAGCTGTTATTATGCTTTGACAGTTGCAAGTCACTTGATTTCTCATTGATCCCTTTATGACTGCAATATGGCCTTTACTTGAAGGGCAAATGATCAAACGCAGAGGACTAGGTAAGTAAATGACGTATGAAAGAGTTTTTTCTTGGCCTGCAAGGGTCAAGAGTTCTTGTGTTACAGCAATAAACTCCCTGTCATAGTGCTAAAACGAGAACACACTTTTTACGCAGTTTGAACATTTATAGAAGCAGAAAGTCAACGAAAAACCAGAGGCTGTCAACACTTCTCAATTTAAAATGGTTTTACAGCCTCACTAACTCATAGCTGCTACACACAGGACGGGTACATTTATACACTTAGTAGTTGTGTTGTAAATTAAAACAAATGTATTTGGTTCATTTTTAATTACTCTTTCAAAACCACATGATTATCATATGCGACTACTGCTTTTGCAGAATTTGTGTGCAGAAAAGTAGAAATACTTTTTCTAAATATATTTTCGTCTTCAGAGAATATCTAGAATTAAGTTTATTTTTATTAGCCCATGCACTTTCTTGAATTAAGCATAAATCTAAAAAATAAAAAAGGGGACTTAAAACAAGAAAAAAAAAGAAAAAGAAAAAGAAAAAGAAAGCATACTTACTTTGAAACTTAAATGCAGAAACTCTCATGGTCAAAACAACAATACAAAACAAACATTGAATGTTTGCTCATAAAGTACCACATCAAGTTCATTTAAGACACTGTCATGGTCAAAACAAATCATAAAACAAGCACAATACACAAAATGAAAAGGAGGACTGTTCTTTAAACAAGAAAAAAAATATTGGGGTGAGAAAAATTTACTTAATTGAAGAAACTACCATATCAAAACAAAAAAATCGCAAGCAAAATTAAACAAAAACACGTCAGCTAATACAATGACATCAAGTTAATTGAAGAAACTGTCATGGTCACAACAAAAAACAAACCACAAAACACAAAATGAAAAAGAGGACTGTTTTTAAAAAAAGAGAAAGAAAAGAAAAAAAACTACTGGGGTGAGAAAAAAGAAAGTAATTGAAAAAACAAAAACAAGATGAGAAAAGCACAAATCCCAAAAATACAAAACACAAGCATGTCCGCTAATACAGTGCCATATCAAGTGGCTGAAGGCCTTAGTAAAGCGACCTGAAGGTGGCACTGTATACTGTGAGTTTTCACAGTGAGAATCTTTCTGAGCTGTGTAACATACGAGTCCACACAGTAATGTTGTAGTAATGAGGAACCTACACTGACAGTCAAATCAAGTATAAGCAAGTCATTCTTTTCATTCAGTGAAAGAAACACAGTTCAGTAAAATTACTCTAGAATGCAACATAAGGACATACAATAAACTTCACATAGTTTAAACCTCACTATATAAGCAATGCAATGCAAATTTAAAGCAATGCAATTTAAGAATAAACTTAGGTTTTCCAAAAATTTCTTTCTGGTATTTCATAGTTTTCATCACTTTACTGTCGTTGTAAAAGTAGTGATAATAAAGAATGAGTGGGTTTGTCCTTGTTTGCATTGAGAGGTATCCGTTCAGGATTCAGCAGAACATTTGTTTAGAGAGTCCACTGGGTCAGCTGTCAATCTGAGTTTATTATTTTGACACCTCATTTAATCTGTACGTGTGTGTGTGCAGGGGCGTAGCCATCATTTCAGAAGTGAGGGGGACAGAAATGTTATATATATATATATATATATATATATATTATAAAAAAAAATAAAAATAAATATATATATATATATATATATATATATATATATAACATTAAAACACACACACACACACACACACCTCAAACAGGGCTTGACACACAACCACTTTACACCCTCACTCAAATGAACGCCCTTTTCCCTGGCAACACCTGCTGTGAGCTGACTATGCTATTCTCTAATAATTACTTTTTAACCCTTCATTGGGTTCAGCGCCTGCACAACATACAGTACAATGCAAGGAATGAAAATGTGAATTACACAGAGGACTAGAAGGAACATGGTGTGAAATCCTGTGTGTGTGTGTGTGTACAATAATTTTTGGGTTATGTAAAATACAATCTATTAAAATTTAAAATTTATACCTATAGATAAAATATTCTCATTTGAATGTTAGCCACATATTTATATTTAGACTAAAATGTCACAAATGTAGCATGCATAATCAATTTAACATTTGCATTTAATTTTGTTTTTTTCTTTCATATAATTGTTAATACAATTTAACTCCATGCTTTTTAACGAATTTATGATCTATAATAATAATTCTCTAATCCAACTTAAATTTATATCCAACCATTTTTAATGAACTTATGATCTAATTGTCATTATTATTGCTATTTTTAATTTTATAATCAATTTAACTAAATTTTGATTAAATCCTTTTTAATTAACTTATAACAATAATTGATTATTGCTATTGCTATTATTATTATTATTAGTTTATTAGTCCAGTGTAAATAAGTTTTTATTCAATCCTTTTTAATGAATTTATGTTCTATAATAATCATTATTATTGCTATTTTTAATTTTATAATCAATTTAACTAAAATGTTATTCAATCCTTTTTAATTAACTTATAACAATAATTGATTATTGCTATTATTATTATTATTATTATTATTAGTTTATTAGTCCAGTGTAAATAAGTTTTTATTCAATCCATTTTAATTAATTTATGTTCTATAATAATCATTATTATTGCTATCATCATTATCACCATTGTTAAATAATATTAACATTACAAATAATAAATATTTATGAATTACATGTTATGAATTTACAGCACCAGTTACAAAATCAAAGCTCTGGATTTTTCTGAATAATACAACCTATTCACCATTATATGCACATTACATGCACACCAACTGCAGTTGTAGAATCTCCAGTGCAATGATAGAACACCGCGCTGGTGAATACTGAAACCTTTATTGTGTTATTATCCATTGAGGATGAATGAATGTTTGTCACACACAGAAATGACTAATACTGCAGGCTTTATGATTTCACCTGCCGCACCTTACAAGAACTTCAATTCATCCTTCCAGCACCAGTCACATAAATAAGAGAAATACATAAATAAATACACATTAGAACTTTACATTTAGCAATTGGGAAAAAAATCAGATCACAATAGATAAATATAAAGCACAATAAATAAAACAAACAGCAACAGAAAGGGGAAACATGTTTCAATCTGCTTTTGAAAGTTTATACATTCAGCTGGGACTGATTTGCTGTAGAAGTGATAAATGTACACAAAAACAATTCAAAGGTCACTCGCCTTCATGAGGTGTTTTCACATTCTTAAACTTTTTAAAGAATCTACAACATTAATAAACATTTAAATGGCTGCTGGTGCTTTGTGTAAATGTTTCAGCACACAAACAAACACAAAAATGACTGTTCTAATACCTAAAAATAGTTTACCGTTACTCCTGTTTACATTCAAATGACTTGGTTTTCACATCTTTCATTTAAATTCTAGGATATGGTATGGTTTTTAAGCATGCAAATGTGTATAAAATGTATTTTTTGCACAAATCATTTCGTCCTTACGATCAAAAGTCAGATTTTCTCATTTAGTAAAATGAACAAAAAAAGTATAATAATCGCTTTTCTCTTTTAAATCAAAGACACGTTGCTTTAAGACAACAATCAGTAGTTAGAGTTGATTTAAGAGAAAATGATCAGAGTTTTTGGAATGCTTTTTCTTGCCAATGCACTCGTTCCTCAGTTGCATTGCAGTTCATTAGAACACAATTCACAGCCAACGTACACTTCATTACACTAAGCTAAATTACTTCAAATGAAACCATAAGCGAGAACTAACGCCTAACAAACTTCGCAGAATTACAAGCAGCACGACTAAATCTACAATGCCACAGTGAGACGTGCCATCAAAAAGTGGCTTGGTGACATTTAAAACGCGTACGGATGAGCTTCAGAGTCTAGATTTCCTCTAAACGGGTATGGAGTAGATTTCTGAAAGCATTTGTATTGCAGAAGGTCGACAAAGTAGCAACCTAGAAACCTTCACTTCAAAGACATTTGTGTGTGTCACAGTTAACCTAAATAGTTATTCGCACCAAATTCCCATTTTAAACACGAAATACACACATAAACGCCTTCCGATTGACTTGACCATCAACATTATCTGAATTCCATCCTCATAAACCCTTTAAAGTGAAAATACAGTGACCCCTTCTCGCTCCTTATTTCTCAGAGTGGTTCACCTCGTCCTTCATGACCGGCAGCCAGGGAGGAGACAGCTCTGGGATGTTCCTCTTGGCCTGGTTGAGGTGGGTCATGGCGGTGTACAAGCTGCCCCTGGAGTTCTGCTCAGGGTAGTACATCTCCAGAGCCGACGGGGTGCAGTGTCTGTGCTAGATTAGAAAGTAGATGTTTGCAAATAAAGGTTATATAGGAATACATTAACTCGAATGGAGAAGGTCAGGCAGGTTCTGTTATAAATCAAACATAAAGGTGAATGTCATGGAGCTCTGCATTCCTGTTGATATAGCATCGGTAGAGCGGCCAAACCGCTGATAACTGCCTCTGAAACAACAATCCTGCCCTTCCGTTTACACACATGCATAAATTGGGGAAATCGATATTTTAGAAGTGGACAATGATAGTCTATCACTGTCTTTTCCAAATGTGTTGAGATGACATGTGAAGCTTAGCACATTGTCTACAAACATCAACAAAAAAACACATTTCTGTAAAAATCAATGACCTGTAGTGCTAAAATATATTGTTCGTTATGTGTGT